GCGCTTGTGTATGAACCAAGCAGTTGGGAGGGGCTGTGGTGGTTCATTTTCAGCTGGGATCTGCTGAAAAGAGGTGCTTTTTTAGGGCTACTTTGATGGCATCAGGCGGTGTTATTATGGATAATGTCACAAACTCTGCTGTGCTATCACAGAGGTTACTGTTGAATATGGGTTGAGCACATGTGATATCATTAGGTAGTATCTAATATTACTGTTCAACCAAAAACTTGGAAGGACTATGCAACAAAAGAAGTTAATTCCCAACCCAAATGTTTTATGTGTAAAAAAAAGGGCTTGATATTATATTGTTATTTGCAGGAGCCTTTGGAAGATCTTATTTCCCCAAGTGATTGTGCTACTGAAAATGCTTCATTTATTTTGTATTTATTCTGTCACGTATTTGTAGTGGAATCCAGTGTGGATTCTTAAAGCAGCTTATGAAGCATTTTTCTTAAGATGTGATTTCATTAGGTTCTTATCAAAAAGCAGCATCTAATTTTTTATTCAAAAGGATTCCTACTACACAGACACATTCAAAAGTTAATGTTTGTTCAAACCACAGATTCTTAGACCAATTCCTTCCTCCCTCAGTGCTCTAACTGAGAAATGACACATGCAATTTTAAATGGCATGTCAATAGCAGAATACTCTGCACTGTGGGACTAACTAAGCAGACTACACTGACATTGCACAGACATACTTCACTCCTCTGGCTCAACTGAATAGATTCTCAATATTCTCATGTTGAATTGTTTGGCATAACTCATCGAGTTGGAGTAATGTTGCATTCACATCAAGACATCTTCCTCTACTGTAAACTGACTGGTTTCAGAGGATTTACATCAGGAATTAATATAGTTTGAGAACGTTAATAGTATTTTCTATTTGAAGATTTTTCTCCATGTCAGTGTAGTTCTCCTTTTCCTGAATTTTTGTACTGTATCATATTTGAAAGCTGTTTCTTTGAGTTTGCTCTTCACGTGTCTTGCTTTAAACCTTCTGTCCAGCTCTGCCTTTCTAACTTGGGCCACCTTTTCATCTTAGGGGACTTCTTGCTTGTAGGTTCTCTTGCTCTAGCTTCTGATAGCTCATTTGTTTCACATCAACTCTCTTAAGCTTGCTCTGGGTAATCCCAGAGGTGTGTTCTTGCTGGCTGCCAGGTACCACAGTGACAAGGACATGACAGGCACCCGCACTGGGACATGAGTGCACATTGTAATTAGCTCTAAGTTTGTGATGTACAGGTGAACACATTAAACAAGGACTCAGCATTCCTCTTTCCTGCTTTCTGCCATGTTCCCAGCTGAAAGGATTACGCCGCTGAATGACCTTCTGCTTTTTTCAAAGGTATTCAGCACCACGTGCCCTGTTTCCAGTCTGTTGATGGAGAGGTTTAGGAACGCATGCAAACGACCAGTGTGATCAGGCAAAATGTCCAATTTATTATTTAAATCAGTTAACTTTTATACAGTTTAGTTTGCTCAGGGTACATGCTCACAACAAGACGATTGGATAGCTCAGTTTGTGCACGCGTCTAATGCTCTCAGTTTATTGGATCTGAAGCTCTGTCCATGCGACCTGAAATCATTCTTGGCATAAAAAGCTCTTTCTAATTAATCTGCTTTTAGAGGTTTTCCTAAATCTGCAGGTGTACCTTTATCTCTAGTTTCTCAAGGTTTTCTTTCTATAAACATATTATGTTCTCAAACCTTATAATTAGACACACAGCTAACAAGTATAAACATCACATATTTTCACACAGTCTATAAGTATAAACAATACATGCTTGTCACTTCCATGGCAAGCAAGGCCTACAGAGTGCAGGAAAAATTGTTCAGAGAAATCTCTCTGTTCTGGCGACACCAGTCTTCCTTGTAATAAGTCCATAGGAAAGGCAGACTCTTAGCTTGTCTGTGCTGTGGATTCCACATTGTGAAATGGGTAATAAAAATTCCTTACTTCTTGGAAATGTCATGCAGTATAATGACATAAAGGGAATAGGGGATTCTGAGCTTCTTCTGTGTGCAATTAAACACAAAATCCTTTTATGAGTTGAAAACAGACTTTTCTGTCTGTTGGCTAGTAGTCCATTTCTTTTGTGTGTAGAGAGATTTGTTCAGCACTGCACAGATAACCTTTTTCTTTTTTCCCCTACAAAAATGCTGCTTGAGTTCAGTAAATCCACCACAAAGCCCACAATATCTGAAATAGACTTTACTCGCACCTGCCATCTCCTATTCCAAATGCTATATCTATTGAAACACTCCTCTATATTCTGCATGTAGCATCTCAAACAAGCTGAATTATTTCATCTGCTACAAAGGGATTAAACATGTCAACAGTAATTATCTTTGGCTTAATCTCTGGCAGTTGCTTTTCCTTAAATATGCTCAGAGGTTCATTATAACTTTCTCACTGAATCTCTTGCTGCATAAATCTACCAAGGTATCATTTGCTGGCACAGCAAGTGCTGACACATTTGTCCACTCTTGCAAACAGAAGATGGTCAGGAGGGTTTTACTCATAAATTCTAATCTGTGTTGTTCCAGTTAAAATCCCAGCAGAGCTTACACTCTGCTTGGAAGCCTCTTAGGCTGCTGCTAGAAAGTGATTCTAACCTACGAGGGGACTGAGAATTTTTGCAAAGCTTTGTCTTATTAATATGAAATACTTTGTGCTTTAAATTCTAATGACAGTCGAGCTGCCAAGGAGAACTGGCAGATGTGAGTGAGGACAAGAGAGCAAGCAAGAAGAATGACTAACTTGACCTTTAACTTTCATAGACTTTTCAAAGACACCCTACCCCCTCCCCAACAGGAAAGGGCTCCTGAGAGTTTCAGTTTATAAAATAACTGAATAGTTTTTTGTAGACAAAATATTTCAAGTGCTGTTTTTCAAAACCTATTTGTAATTTGTATTGTTAAAATAAGTTTAGCTTCATGTTGTGATTAATGAACAAGTTTTCTTACTTAAAATGACTGTAAAATGTCATTTACCAAAGCCTTGCAGTGAAGGTTTTGATAAAAATACCACAAAAGTCAAGAGAAATAAAAAATTTTGTTAACATCAGGTTTTAAAGGGTGTTTCTTTTTTTTTGATATTAAAGCCACGTTTCACACTTTTGAAATATTTTTATTGGAAAAAAGTATGTCATCAAATATACATTAATCTAGAACTGTATGAGAAAATAACTTACAGTCCTCTATTATTAAAGGAAACTTGTGTTTATTACCTTTTCATTGTATTCCTGCTGAAAGCCTGGCAATTAAAGCTAATAACTAGACAAATACATTTAGGGTGCTCTCTGGGCACTATAATATTCCAGATGAGGTTGTTGGCATAGACGGTACAATGCAGTAATACTTGTGCTCCAAGAAGGCGCAGAGGATGATAAATACACACTGTGGTGTGCCCATCAAAATAAAATCCGGTTTGCTCTGCTTGGCAGCCTCACAGAAATTATAATTCTCTGAGGATATTTTCTTGTGGAGATACAAAGGGGGAAAAAACCCAACTTAAATGCATTTGAATATTCATTTCTTAGCTATCTTGTTCTGTTTTGTTTTTTCCCCCTTGGAGAATGCAGGAAAATGTGTGGCACTCTAACAAAGAGCCTTTTTTTCTTCTGAATAATCTGACATGGGAAAATTCTGCATCCAGTGAAGATTATGATGAACTGGGGTTTTCACTGTGAATACCCTCCTGGCTGCACTCCAGAATGTGGCCTGTCAGTCAGGTGTACACTATGTGCAGCATTTGCTCCTTTTCCCCCTGGAGGGACTGATACAGTGTTTGGCTACAACTGAGAGTTGTCCATTAAAATGACAGGGGCCTGGAAAGACACTTGGCGGGCTGCACTCCTGAGATGAGGTATAATGGGCTGTTAACAGTCACACAGGCACCTTTTTCAAGGACCATTTATCCTGAGGGAAGCTTGCTGTGCATCCTGACCAGCAAAAGATGGGCTCCTTGTTGATAGTTTAAGAAAGGGTAGCTCCTCTTTGGAGAACTTTGTGGTGTGAAATGATGCCTGGTGGTGTGAACCTGCACCCAGCACATCCCGAGACTGAGGGTGAAGGTTTGTCACTAGGCTGGGGCAACAACCAGTTGGTTTTTACACCTATTTGCTTTTGCTGTCTCTTGTCTCTTGTTACAGTAGCATCCAGGAGCATCAGCCGAAACAAGGACTCTGTTTTGATATGCTGTTCACAACCACAAAATACACAATGACAGATTTTTCCAGCAATTAGGGTGCTTATTATTTCAAAACTGGGCTTAGATTTTCTAAAATCCTTGCTCAATTCAGTTGATTGCAGACTGCACAAAAACAGCTGCCTCTGGCTATGCCTGGAATTATTTTAAATTTTCTGCATTATAGATAAGCCAACATTTATTGGGCCAAAGAGTGCAAAAGAATTAAAATCTGTTACAGCACCTTCATCTGTGAGAAGATGCTCCTGTGCCTCCAGTGTTTCACACAAAATACCTGTACATTGTTCGATGTAGGGCCAGAATGGCATGTGGCTGCCCCCAGTTTTCAATTGCAATGTCTTTCTTTCTCTGTCCCAATAAAAAGTCCATTATGCTCTACAAGTGAAAGAGCTTCAGCAGAAGAATTGGGAGTATTCTACTGTGGTTAAGGCCATGCCAAGAGGAGATAGGACAGACAAGTTCAAATGTCCCTGTGTAGAGAGGAAATTCAACTGTCTTACTAGGGAGGATTTCCAGATGAATTTTGTGGGATGGAGCAGAGGAAGCTACTTAATTCTAGAAGACGGTGTAGACTTTAAAAATTCTGAGGAGAAGAAGGTGCTACCTTTAATTTTTTTTAAATTAATTTTATCGAAATTAGAGGCCTGGATGGGGTGAGGGAGAAACTTATTGAGCATATTAAAAGCTCAGCTTTTCACCCTCTCTTGAGCTTGTGGGAGCAAGAGTATGTCCCCTTTATGCATTTAGGCAGATATGCATTCCTTTCTTAGTCTATTTAAATAATTATCTTTACATTAAAAAAAGGTAAATTCTTGGATTTTTTTATCTGGAGTGGGGAGAAAAAAGCAAGGTTCAAACACATCTCTGTTCCCCATTCACCACATGCACCACATGGAAGAATAGAAAAGCCAGCACCACTGCTGATTCTTAGTTCACTTCTCAACATCTGGATTTCATCTGAAAACATGATCAAAGAGAGACACTATCAGGTAAGGTTCAATATTTTTCCTTTAGAATTTACAGGATGCACAAAGCAGCATTGACAGACAGTTTTAAGCAATTAAATACATGAATCAAAATCAGAATCATGTCTTGGTTTGAAGGGCAGATTTGAGTGGACTCAAGTGGCAGGGTCAGGTTCATTCAGTCATGAAAAAACAAAAGCTCCCTATTCGGTGAGCTAAACAGGAGAGAGATGTGCTCCCAAAGAAAATGCAGGGAACGATGGATGGGTCTTGGCATGGAAAGCTGCTGCTTATATCAGAAAGGATACGATGGAAACTTGTGTGCCCTGAAAAGCAAACCTCTCTGCAATGACCTTGGTGGAGTGTGAGTGCCGTGAGTGGTCTTTATACACAGGCCAGATTGTTCTTGAAAATTTTGCTTTCCTTCACATAATTGCTGGAATGAATCTGAGGCAGTACAAGGCCAGTTCTCTGCTCCCATATCAGTATGGGAATGGTTTCCCAGGGTGATTGACAGATTATTGGGTTGGAGATAAACATGTTTCTCCAGTTGTTTGCAGAAAGTCCTGCCTCACGTTAAGTCATTTCTCTCCATAATCAGTGAATCACAGATCGAGATAAACACTCATGCAGAGACAATAAAACTAATTTTTATTTTTATAATTAAATCTTAAGAGCCACCTGATTTTGCATTGAATCAAGACTATAATTTCAGCAGTAAACATCTGATATTTTATTGTAATGAAGAATCTGAGTATGAATAGAGCCACATTTTTGATTAATTAGAATCTTGTTGCCAAGGAATTAATCTGTTTTCCCTTCTCTGAGGAAAAAACCCAACCCTCTCTAAAATGAGTTTCTCAGCAGGGATAATTACAGAAATGTTGAGTGAACTCCAGCAGCAGACATGTTTCAACATTTCTTTGTTTTCCTGGAGTAAGGGGGAATATGGGAGAGAATAGATGACCATTAAAGACTGAATATGGCTATTATTTTTTCTGACTGTAAAGTAACAGAAAAGTTAGTCCTGGACTTGGGATTCTCAGTCACTAAACTATTTCTGGGTGAGATAAGAGCGAGTTTAACTCAGGCTGTAATAACTCAGAGCTGTATTCAGATAGAAATAGCTCCAGGGTGGAAGTCTACACTACTTAGCTGCTGCTGTATCAACTGAGGGATTGCTGTAGTAATACGTTACACGACTGTGCTTCCTTAGATGATCCTTTGGACTGATACCCATTTCCTATTGAGGCCATGGGGGTGATGCTAACAGAACTGACAGGCCCCCCAAATGAGTTAACTGTACTGCAGTAAACTTTACTGAATTACTTGCAATTTATGGATGTGAATCCATTTGTGCACATGGCAAGCTAACGTGTAATTTCCATGGGTGTGAATAAATAGAACAACCACTTAATATTTTAAAATGTTGCTTTCTGTCATTACTTATGGCAGCAGGGGATGTATTTCATTTCTTCTAAGGTTAAAGGAAGAAATGCTTTTTCTTTTCTAGGAAAAGCTACCACACTTGCATGATTTGTAATTAGTAATGTGTCTGTTGCCATATTCCTGCTTTATTATGTCTCTTTAGGATGCAGCAAGCTATGTTCAAAATAATGATACCCAGACAGCGTTAGAAAATTCAAAAGGAGACTGTCTCCATATCAGAAGTGTGGGTTGAAATTGCTGCAGTTCAGGCTCATCAATATTGGTAAGTGTTTGAGATGTGAGTAATTGAAACTTGCTGTTACTGTGCTTCTAGCAAAGTGTGAAATTGAGGAACTAGAAGACAATACCCAAAAGCACAGATGCATGACTGCAGTTTTGAATGCTTTCCTTGTGGGTGACCGAAGGATTTTATTGCCTGATTGCCTCAGAGTGGAGAGCACAGAAACTCTTTGGGATGAGAACACTTTGAATCCTAAACTTTACTTCTTCATTTTACTGTTAAAAAAAACCCCAACCCAAAGCCCTGTGTAAGACTGATCAATGGTACAATCAGCTGTTAGCTTAGCTGACAGCTAATGACAGCTGACAGCTGACAGCTGACTGTACTGATGATATTTTTAAATCACTTTCTCTGGGAGACGTGTAGCGTAATTTTTCTTGTGTGAGTGCTGCTTGTTTAAACAAGCAGCATATGATATATTTTGAGCTGCAAATTTTTTGTGTAAACTCAATTTTGTATCTGTCTAGGATTCCAAATCTTCGTTCGTGAAGCCTACCCATGATGATCTGTCTAGGATAGGGAGAGATATTTTATCCCTTTCTGGTCAGCTACATTTATGTCTCATGGAAGCAGTGAATGAATGCTATTTAAATTAAAGTGCCTCAATATATACATTTATCATTCCCATGAGTTCTTTTTAAAGAGAATAAAATGTTGTACATATACTAGAAATTGCACCCAAAGAGTCTTTTCACTCCAGGAGGAACTGAATGAATACAGTGAATCCCAATTTCTTCATGCTTCTTCTCTGGAGGGTGAGTCAATTCAAAATTCAGGTATTCCACTCAAATCCATAGTCTGCCTCAACTCCGAAACTTTATAAACATCCAGTTATGAAGTGAAACAAACAGCAGGTTGAGATTGACTGCTAACTCATAGATATATTTTGTTTTCTTTCTTGCTCTGATTAATATTTTATTCCTTAAACTGTGCTGCAAACTCCACTGAGACTATACTTACAGGAGCTATATTATGAAAGAGTGACAGATTGTGGATGAGGAGAACCTTTTTCATAAATCATTTCCCTTTGCATCGCTTCCATTTTCTCTTCTGTAAAATAATTAGGTAAAAATACCATATTCTTTCTGGTACTAATAAGAAAATTTGTAAAACAAATTAATTCTTTGACTCCAGGCAGTTGCATTTTATCTACCAGCCCTCAAAATACAACAAAAAAGGTATCAGAAGCTTGACCTGGTGTCCCTTCCTGCTTGCTAATAAATCTACTTCTGTTTCTTTCACAATTTCATCACAGATATGGGCTTCAACCTCTCCAGTGTTAATATCAAAACCACTATTTTGGGTTAAAAAAAAAGGAACTTTCAGTCTATTAGAGTGTAACAGTATCGTTCCATTGCACATTCTACCTCCTTAAGAGGTTGTCACAGCAGCAGTAAACCAAAGATTAGTTAAAAGCCATGACAAAATTGTAACATTCCTTTTATAAAAAAACAGGCAATGAAAAATTTCCACCCCATTGAAAATTCCTGCTCTCTTACATCTTCTTAACTGACACTTAGTGCTTGGATAATAATGAGAACATAGGAAAAAAAGATTATAGCTTTATGTTAGTGACAGTAGAGTTATGGCCGAAGATCTGCTTTCATTCTAAGCCTTCATTTTCAGCACTTACAGCTTTCTGAATATATTATCTTTTGGGCTCCCATTACACATGCTTCCTTTCATCCCAAAAGGTGGTATGTGGCTTTTTTGTTTAGCCTTTTTCTTTATTCTTTCATAACATTTTCTTGGCTATTTATTTGATACCATAATATGTGAAAAAGTATCTTCATTATTTCATCAATAGTTCAGATTTATTTTATTTTTTTTTTGCACATTAGTGTTGGTGCTTCTGCAGATCATCTGCCTTTGATACAGTAGAGGAAGTTTCTTTTATAGATGACTATACAAAGTTCTTAAAACCTGCCTGCTCTGTTTATGTTTTTGCTTCTTGAAATTACCAGGGAATGTTTCCTTAAAGAAAGAACCCTAAAGTGTGATATCATGGTTAAAAATGTAAATATCTGCTAACTCGTTCACAAAGTTGCTCTGTGTGAATAGTGGCTACACATATTATCTGAGTAATAAGAATAGATGATTTCTGAAAGTTTAGAGCAGGATTCCACTTTCTTTTATCATGTGGTGGGAGAATACCATCTGTTTCACCAAAAAATGCCATAAATAAAAGCCAGAGTTCATACACAGCTTCAGTTTTGAATTTTTCTAACACCCACAAACAGTAACCTCCCTTTGTTTATGATACAGTTTTGATTAGTGGGCTTGATGTGGGGAAAATTATGAGGAATGAGGAAAGTCAAGTCCACTGCTGTCAGCCCCCAACAATAATAATTTCAGTCTTTTGGCTTTCATTGTAAATGGATTAACTCAAAAGATGAGTTAACATTGAGGGTTTTGTATTTCATTGAGAAACTACTCCATGTGCCTGTGTGCATACACAAAAGGAATGAAGGATCAGCAAAAAGAACCAAAGATCATTAAACACAAAACCCAAATCTTGAGTGGAAGTTTCTCTCACACAACTATAATCTACAGTCTTTCCTAACTTATTTAAGATGGTAAATATTGTTTATTTGAGAGCTTAGCTAGGCACTTTATTATGTTTTTAACTACCATTAGGTGCGGATCCAGCAATATATCAATATTGTCCATTGTAATCATGAAACAAAAGGGAGTTTGTAGAGAAAAAGCTTCAGTAGAAAACAAATAGTTAAAATCTACACTATCTGTTCCTAGGGCCAAGTTTGCTGTGGTGCTTGACTCAACTGGAACTGGCAGTAGCATCTTGAAGTAACACACACAAAACGTATCTAAGCAAGGTCCTCCTTGCCCTCAGGGCCTCTCTAAGGCCATAATTTCACAGTGGAAGTGGTCCTGGCAGTGCTGGCTGCTGCTGGTCTCATTAGGACTGGGAATATGGTTGGTTTGTTTGTTTTCCTATTATTTATGCACATTTAAAATGCATTTAAATAAATATGTGAAGATTTCAGAATTCTTAAGTCTCAGACAGTGAGAAAACATAGAGTCCCCGAAGAAGGACATAAACAGACATTATGGAAATACTGTCTTGTCTTTCCAGGCTACCATAGGGCATTATAAGGAGAGACATCCAAGGAAAATCCAAGGCTGTATATCACCGCATGCTGTGAGCAAAACTCCTGCAGTCATAACCTAATCATGACATCTGATGGCCACTAAAAACTGCATCTTTTTGGAACAAGGTTTAGTTATGATAGAGGTAGCATAAAAACGATGGCCTTGAAAATGTGTGGTTTTCTTTTAAAGGAAATAGTAAGTATGGGTCTAAGGCATAGTTGTATCCTTTCTCTTCCTTCTTTTCCATAATTTCCCCCCCTCTCCTCCCTCAAATCTCTCCCAATAGCTTGGTCAACAGCATTTTCTTGCTTCATTGGTTTTGAAAAGGACTTGCTGTTCCCTGCTGTTAGATTATTTCCAGGAGACTGTCTCAGGTCAATAGTCATAACATTTCTTGCTTCACTCCTTCTTTCCCCCACTCAGAGAGAAAAAATAATAAAATTAAACAAAAAATAAGTTAACAAATTAACTTGGGAAGTGGGAAAGGCAAGCATGTGTGTATTTACGTGATTAATCCAGAGATTTAAGGTATGGACCCTTCTTTTTGTTTTCAAGCACCTGTTCTTTGCATGCAATTGCCTTAGGAAATTTCTCCTAGCAGCTAAGTTTCAGGTGAAACTACCAAAGAAATATAGGGACCTTTAATTGGTATTAATTTTATTGCAACCTTAAAAAAAAAAAAATTCATTGCTTCAAAAAGTCTAGGAAATATTGAATTTAAAGAAGAACTTAGCCAAAATAAACACCATCCAGTTGTGGTTACCTTAGATATTGGTTGTTTAGGCTTTGTTTCTACTCATCATCAGCTTTATTCTAACAGTTTATAAAAGATGGTCAGCTGAGGTATATGTTGCCACCAAATTGATGCCTATTTTGGCCCATCCACAGCAGCCCAGCACTGCAGAGAGGCAGGGCCAGCTCATGCTCTGGCTCATGCTCTTTCTCACACTCTTTCTTGCCTGGTTCATTCAGCAGTTTTGGTAACAACTGTTTTACATACAAAGGTGTTTTAGGTGCAGACTTCTCAGCTGTGGTTCATCTGCAACTGTCCTTCCCCTGCCTCCTCTTTCCCCTAAAAATATGTGTTTAAAAGTGTCCCAGGTTAGGACTGCCAGTATAAAATAAAGGTATTATATTTGTCTGGCACTCAAGTAAATTTTGGTTAATGTTGGGATGGATTTTAATTTTCTGTAACTGCTTGAACTGATTAAAATTAGTTTTAATTTTGTGGGACCGAGTACTTGCAAACAGAGATAGTTCCTGTTAACTGAAATGAAAATTTAATTGTATGGTGTTTAAATAGGACGAGATGTGATAACAAGCAATCGTTGACAGTTTTACAGTTTACAAACTAGGGAGAGACCACAGCAGGTGGATTTGACAACAGCAGAAGTGAACAAGAAGACAACTCAATATCCTGCTAACCTGTTTTGGGAATAAACACACTTCCTTTATTCCTCATAGGATTTTTGTAAATCTGATTAAAACTGTCTTTTATGTGCATCTGAAATTGCTGTTATTTGTATGTGCCATTGAAGAGTCACACAGTTATCCAGTGGCCAAGCTGCAACCCTCACTGAGACACTGAATGCCTCTCCTTGGAAAAAGAACCACTGGAATTCTAATCTCAGCCTTATTCTTGCTTTCTTGAGTTTGCCTGGCCAGCTTGGGGCACCCAAGACAGGAGAGGAACTTTTAGTATCAGTTGTATTTTAGAACCAGTATTTGAATTATTACTTAGTAGTGGCATGGAAATAATTAAATTATGATAGAACTCTGAGCCAGTAATACAGGCAAATCCAAGACAAGATTTTTGTGATAATCCCAGTTTGGGAGCTTGCATTTTGCAGACTTTTCAAACGCTTCAATTTCTTCCCTTCTCTATGAGATGCAATGTGTTCTTTTGCCTACTTACAATCCATATAGTGCGGGACCAGAGAGACTGTTTTGACCTTATATTCATTACCAGTCATTAAAACTGTTAGTTCAAGTTTTTGCTTGTATTTTGTAGATGAAAAATTTTGGTTCTGTTGATGATAAACTTCTACTGCATATGCACCTGCTACCCAAAAGGTTTAAAAAAAAGATAAGTTTTTGCTGAAACAGTCCCTATTTCAAAGATGGTTATCTGCTCATACAAGACAACTAAAGATAAATATACTGGATAACTGTCTTATCCACATATTGAGGGAATGTCTTAAGTGTGAAGATATGGAGAATGACTAAGTGTATGTGCCTTTCTGGCCTAACAGCAGTTTTTCATACAGAATACAAGAGTTTGGGCTGTAGAAGTTGAAGTTTCAAGTTTTGCTTCAAGACAGAAACAATATAAATCCTTTGAGTCTGGATATTTTGCAACACACTGCTGCTTTTATTTCACACAATCACAAAGTAGCTGAGGTTGGAAGGCATCTCTGGAGTTCATCTAATTTAGCCTCCTGCTCAACCAGTCAGCCACAGCAGGTTCTCCAGGATTTTCTCCAAGGATAGACTATACAACCTCTCTCAGCAACCTGCTCCAGCATTTGATCACCTTTAAAGTTAAAAAACCCCAACCAACAAACCCACAAAAAAACCCCAAAACCAAACCAAGACTTTAAAAATATTTAAACAGAATTTCCTGTATTTCACTTTGTGCCCATTTCTTCCTGTCCTTTCACTGGGCATCAATGAGAAGGGTCTTGTTTTGTCTTCTCCTTACAACCCTATGGGAATTCATACAGTTTTACTTATCTTAATGGAAAGAGATGAGGAAATTGTGTGGGATGCCTGAGTGCCTATGATGCCCAGCTGTTTATTTTCAGAAGAAGATTTGGGAGTATTCATTTACTCTCTCTTCTAATACAAGAACAAGGCTATGAACCACAAATTGCTGCAAGCTGGGACTATACAGTCCATAAATATAACTGTGCTTGGTTTGTTATATCTTCTCTCAGACTTTGGTTACTGAGCTCTGTTAGTGATAGGATATTGAACAAAACTGGTTTCTGGCATGGCTTGGTACATCTGCTTTTACTTTCTGAGACTTTGGAGTAGTTTTAGAGGGATAGATGGAGCTGGCTCGCTACAGTACCGCTATTCCTGGTTTATCTGCATAGTGATGTTGATTTAGGGGTTGGACATCTTTTCGGCTTGCCATACTCTCTCTGCAGAGGTGGAAATAGGCTGCAGCACCAAGCACAGGGGAGGATGGCCTTTAAATGATGCTGCACCAAATGGTTGCTGGCCAAAGTGACTCAGGAGCTCCTATATTTGAACACTTGGAATAGTATCCTCCTATAGGAAAGAAAACTTGCTCCTAGATGTTTATCTTGAAGCTTGATTATTATAATTGTAAATAAAGGCTAATATGCATGTATTATAACTGAGGTCTTGTTTGCTTTTTATAGAGTGTGAAATGAGCTTCCGCTTGTAATTGCACGTTTTCTTGATTGATGTGAAACTATTTTCTCTGTAAGCACATACTTCTCAGTTTCTTGCTTTGTTCAGAGTATGAATCAAAAAAAACAACTTGGAAATAAAATCGATTTGCAAAGTGGTTCATTTCCTAATGCCCCAGGACAGCAAGGACTTCTGAGTTAGGAAATTACATACCCTTAACATGATTGTTGACTATTCCCTTGAATGAAAGCTGTACATTCAAGAGAGATCTCTCATTACATGATTACAGCACATATTCTCCTTGGAAGATACAAGGCACTTTGCCTTTGGGTCCTGCTTATGAATTTTTACAGCATTTTACAGAATTTTTACATTTTTACAAATGTGTTTGAGAGGAAAGTGTATCTGTGACCAATGGAAACATAAAAGGGGAAGAAAAGTTGCAAAACTTCACAGACCTCCTGAAATGCTGTATCCCTGTGCATTGAAGGCTTTGCTTGCTCTCTGAAAGATGCTGTTTTTAACATTGCACATGATATTGCATCCTTTGGGATGAATTCTGCCAATTATCAATAGAATTATTTAATATGAAACTTGTCAGGTTATCAAAGGCCCAGGAATTCAGCTGGTCATTAAAGAGGTAAGTGCATTTTAATGTTCTGTACACTGTGCATTCCAGTCAGCCCCAAGACTCCTTCCCTCTGCTGTGGCCTCTGTGTTCAGAGACTGGGTTTCTGAGCAGGAGAGCCTTTCTCCAAATCTACTGTCTTGTTTAGTGATTTCATACAGTCTTGAATGTTGTAATTTGTGAAGAAAATCCATTTCAATACAAAAGTATTCTATAAAATCTGTTACCTCTATAGGCCAAAATTAAGTTTAACATGTTCAAAACAACCCTTTTTTTTTTGCTATCTGATCTATTCCCTGTTTATTTCTGCTACCACTGCTGTCACTGAATCCAAACTGTCTATATGTAAACAGTTGTAAACACTTCTTACCATCTTTTCCAGTACTGTGAATTGCCTTGAAGGCACATAGGATAGAAAGAAAGAGGCAAATAGGGGATTTTCCATGTGGTCTGAATACTATTTGATATTTTAGGAATGCTATTTCCCATTTATATCCATTCATCTCTTTGAATTTCAATCTTTAAACCATTACTTTTACTCTCAGGACTGCTGTGAGTCTTAATTCATTAATGTCCGTAGAGTGCTTTGAAATCCTTAGATAAAAGAGATTATAGAAGTGGAAAATATTAAAGGGAAAATGTGAACTCACAACCTCTATCCCTCCTTCTCTTACCTCACCTGTTCATAAAGATCTTTGTAACCATATAAACTTACCTTAGAATCAAGGCAAATATATTTTCCGTTGATGTACAGATAACACGAGGTTGCAAATGCCCATTTTTTAAAGAATCTTTTTAATATTAAGAAAGTTAATGTAAAAAACTTCTTAGCAATGTTTTTAATCTTCTATTCTCTGCTCTCTCAATTAAAATGTGGTCCTGGTTATATTCAGCTGAATCTTGTAGGACTGCATCCATGCCGAAAGATTCATACTGCTCTCTCCATAGGGTTATATTAGGAAACAGAAGTTCCTCTATCAGGTTTATGTCACTTCGGACTGTAAAATAACGGGCATAAAACAATCTTTTCAAAATGCATCATTTGTTCTCTAAATGGGAACCATCTTCCCTATCCCAGCATCTGCGCTGGTTTCTGTACAGCAGATTCACAGTATGATAGGATAATTCAGGTTAGAATGACCTCAGAAGATCTCTAGTCCAACCTTCTGCTCCAAGCAAGGTCAGCCATGAGATCAGATCAGGTTTCTCAGGGCTTTATCCAGGCAGAGAATCTCTTCGCCCACCAACTTCTATCTGGAACCACT